TGTAGACATTGTAAATAAATTTTGTGCAAAAAGGACTGGAAAAATGAACTGTATTATTGCAATTTTTTTTGTAAAAGTAGCAGTTTGGTATGAGTTGGCATGCATACAAGATTTACTAAGTGGGATAAGCTAATTATACTTTTTGTTGTGGATAAACAAATGCTTGTTGATAGCCTTTTTCTATCAAGAAACCAAGGAGCTAATTATTAATAACAATCATTGCACACTGAGTCTTAGCGTTTCTGATGGAAACAGTTTGGATTGTATAATAACGCCAAGCCCAGTTGTAGTCGTTTGAGTGCAGTAATGAAATCTGAATCTAAAATAAAAACAAGATTATTTTTGTCATGCTGACTCCACTGCTTGAAACATTTGTTTACTGCCCCCCAGATTTTTAAAGATTAATGCAGTAAATATAAAAATTAATTTTGGCTCCCTAAGCCATATATGTATTTGACAATTTTAACCACAAAGTAAGTTATTTAATAATAACCACTGATTTCTTTAAGCTGACTTAATGAACTCCTAATATCAGCAAATTTGAGGCCTAAAGGCACTAAACTAACTCTAGACTCAGAATTACATCCAACAGAATTACTCATCTAATATCATTGAAATTATTCTTGCACATAAAGGCAACCTAAGTACAAAGTTAAGTCTTTTACTAAGGATGTTACCTAGGATGAGCAGTATATGTTTATTAGGAAATTAACTACACGAATTGAAGAGACCAGACTTCAAAATCTAATTTTTATAAATATGCTCTATGTTCTCATTGGATAAAACTGGTTATTAACCAATTTTCCAGAACAGCTGTACAAGACTTCTGCATGGCAGCCGGCTAAATGGTACAAAATAATATGTTTAAGCTGGAATAGCTTATAATTTTATTTAAATAAAATTGCTGCTATAAAAAGTGCTTCCCAAAGCTAAGGAAAATATACAAATATTTTAATTAAGGCAAATTCGTTTTAAAAAATAAACCTTTTAGCAGTGATTGCTTTGTAAACAAAGGATGGGTCGAGGAGAGAGAGCCTTAAACTCAAGTCTGACATTCAGGCCCAAGTCACCCTATAAACCGGTCCTTAGCAATTCTATTTTCTATTCGGAAAAGAGAAACCAGCTGTGGGTTGGCTTTACTAGGTGATGTGTGATTGACTGATTCACCTGCTGGAGCAGCAATGCATTCTCACCTTTTGCTGGTTTCTAAACACGTGGATGCACAGAGAGCAAGGCTCAGCCTACTGCAGCCATCTCTGGCAGCGCCTCTACCCCTCCCCAGCCCATAGATGGGATTGTTTAAATCTCCCTTGTTGACCCAGTGGTAATTCTTCCTCTACCTAAATAGTCGATATGAGTGAAATCATTCTCTTTTGATAGGTGGTTACTAGCAGTTAACAACCATTTATTTACTTTAAAAATTAATAATAAACTTTATAAACTAACCGTCTGTTTGCTTCTCCTCCCCAGTACATGCCTGGGTGAGTTGGTTATTTTCAGCCTTTATTCCTGAGGAGGCTCAGGATGGGTGGGGGAGGGAAAGAAAGGGGAGGAGATGTGGTGGGGAGAGAGAGAGACGCGACAGGGAGAGGGAGAGAGGGAGAGAGAGAGAGAGAGAGAGAGAGAGAGAGAGAGACAGAGAGAGAGGCCCTAGGGGAGGGAGGTTAACAAGTGAAGAGTAGTTAGGGAATATGGTGACTCTGAAGAATGGAGACCAGTAGTGTCCAGGAATTAGAAAAAAGAAACTGCTATTCCGTGCGTTCCCCGCTCTGTGAGCCATTTAGGTGAGAGCCTCGCTCTTCGCAGTTCCTTTCTTCCCCTGCCTTGATGCCCTCCCCTCTTAATGCTATTTTAGCTTTTCCTCTTGTAAATTTCAGAGCCAGCTCAGAGGTTATTGAGGACACTTATCCGAAAGAGGCAAATAATAGAGGTGCTGAGAGTGTTTTTGATGTTTCTTAAACGGCAAAAACAAAACGCCCTCCTCTAAACAAGGGCACAAAATTGTACCTGGTTTTTATTTTTATTTGGTGGAGTGGGGAGGGGGCTGGCTCTGACTGAATAAGACTACTTTTTAGTATGATTTAATTTTTTTCAAAAAATTAAAAAATATTTTACTCTATCATATTTAATCAGCTGTAATTATAACACATTCAAAATGAATAATATGCCTTGACAGTATTTTTATTGTTATTGTTCATTGCATGATGTTCGACTGCTTTAGAAGCACAGGAAAGAGAAGTAAACGCGCTACAAATGGGGAATTACCCTCGTTTAGCATTAAAATTCATTTAGATAAAATTGCCACAAACATTTAAATGGGAAGATTAGTTCCCCCTCACGCCTTATTGCACTCGCTCAATGGTTCCGTTAAGAACATTTTACACGTTGGAAATTCCGTCTTCTCAGACGGCTTGCTGTTTCCTAGTTACCCACATTCAAAGCAAAGGCAGCAGCAAAGGCAGCCGCAGCAGCAGCAGCAGGAAAAAAAAAAAAAAAAAAAGTTTGGCAACTGGTCTGCAATTCATCCGCTGCTCGCCCCAGTCTCCCCTCCGCCCACTGCAGTCTGCCCCCACCCCTTCCCCTTCCCCACCCCTACCTCTTTCCCCTTATTATGTAATTCGCAGAGTCCCGTCCTCGAGGAAACACGTTGCCTAGTTGTGTAGTATTTATATACAATGTTAAAATACAAAGAAAGACCCCAAAATCAGTCGAGTCGGTTCCTCTCTGGGTCTCCCTCTCCCTCTCCTGTTCTAAAATGAGGGTTTAGCTTGAATGTGCTGAGTTTCTCACATCCCGTACCCTGAGGCCACAAGGCACGTTTTTTTGGCTTTCGTTTCTGCCAGGACTTTTCCAGGAAATTCACCACTGCTTTTTGCTTGCATTAGAAACGTGTGAAAGAATTAGTTTGAAAAGTCCATGCACCGTCTAGCTTTTCTCCCCCCTTTTCCTCCTCCTCCTCTCCTCCTCCCCTCCTCCTCCTCTTCCTCCTCCTCCTTCTTCCTCTTCCTCTTCCTCTTCTTCTCTCCTCTCTCTCTCTTTCCCTCTCCCCGCCACTCTCGCACTCCCCCATCCTCTTCTCTCCCCCTCCCTTCGCAGAGCCACAGGAAAAGAGGAAAGTCGGCTTCGACTGCCATCTTTTGGGGATTTGGAAAAACGACTCGGTAGGAAACGGAGGGAGGCGGAGGTGCGGGAGTGGGGGAAACCCCCTTATTATCCAGTGTCGGAACTGGCTCCCTTAATCTGATGCTTAAATATTTGATGTGGAAAAATTACCCATAAAATTAGTTACTAACAATTTCAAATTGAAATCACTTATCGAATTATAAACGCATTAAAGCTGTATGGATGGTATTAGGAGTTCCTCGGGAGGCAGCGGGTGTCTCCTTGCAGTGAGCGGGGTGGGGCAAGTTTCGCCCCGGGGAAAAGCGCCCCCAGCCGAGCCCGGGGGCAAGGACGGGAGGGCGGCGCGGCAACCTGGGCGCAGGGTCCGGGTCAGGGGGACCGAGCGGGCGGCCAGGTCCGGGCAGAGGCTGCGGCTGGTTCGGCTCGCAGGGGCGGGGAGAAGGGGAGGGGAAGGAGCCTTGGTGGGAGGCTCCGACCCCGGAGCACAGGCGCCTACCAGCAAACTTCGTAGTGAAGTCGAAGGATTCTGAAAAGGAAAAACACAAGCCCTGCCCTCCCCTCCCCTCTCGCGTCTCCCAAGCGTCAAGCAGACTTCGCGCTCAACTTTGCGATCGGGGTTAGTTGCTGTGTGCAGTGTCCCCCAGGTGTGCGGGAGGAGAGGGAGGGGAGAGGCTCCTGTCCTGGGGTTGGGCCCGGCTCCGTGCCGCGAGTGGAAATCCCGCGGGCAGCTGCGTGGAGGTCCAGTCAGGACGTGCTACCCCTGAGTCCCACGATGCGCTGGGTCCCGGCCTAGGCCCAGTGCGTGGGCGGGCAGGTCTTTGCCCGGACACCACAGCTCTGGCCCGGGGCGCTGCACAGGCGCCTGCCTTACCCTCCTGCCCTCTCTTCACCCCCATCTAAGAGTATAGTCTAAGGGACTGTTGACTTTGTCTCTGGAGATGGGGCGACCAGGGGTCTGCGAGGGAGGCTGTGGAGAGGCATCTCCTGGGTGGGCGTCCTCTTTCCTTGGAACCTCTCGGAGTGCTTTGTAGTAGCCCGGAGACTTCCTAATAGACTTTGCCACATCGGGGCCCCAGACTCCAGAGTCCCATAGTGGCCCTGGGAGCGCGACCCAGAAAGCCTGGGGACTCGAGGGCACAGGGAACGAGCGCACGGCCCGCTAGGAGGGCGTTGGGTGGGGAGTGCTGGAGTCTGGAGCAGCAACCGAGAAGCCGTAGAACGCACCCCGACGTCCTAGGCAGAAGCTCCTCAGGATCACTTTATAAGCTCTTCAAACTTTGCCCAGCCTTTCGGATACCCGCAGGCCCTTGGCCCATGGGAAGGCAGTAAAAACGTCACTTCATGCTGCAAAGCTCCCGGGTAGGAGCTTGGACGCCGATGGAGAGAGGCGTGGAATTGGGTAGTGGGGCGCCCTGCCTGGCTGGGCACTTTTCCTTGTCTCATTCTCGTCTCCCATGCCATGCCTTGCCCACTGGCTGCTAGCGGCGCGTTTCACTTAGGTTGGCCACGGAGAGGAGACTACGGGAGGCTGGGAATTCCAAGGTTTGGGGAAAAGGTAGTGAGCGAGAAAGGGGGGTCAGGCAACTGAGGAAGACAGCTGATGGCGGGGAGAGGGAGGGCTCCCTTTTCGGCCCGCTCTACCAGCCAAGGCGTCTGAAACATTCTCTCCCTAGGCGGAGCTGAAAGGAAAAACAAACAACGTATTGAGCAATCAGTTCGCCAACGTTTGAGCTTTAAAGAGCCTTTGCTCTGAAAATAGTACCCTGGGGGTCTCTGTCGGGAGATGGGGGAAGCATTTTTAGGGCCTCGATTCTGGCTTGCCGCGCCCTACGGGTCACCCCTCCGCGCGCTGCCTCCTGACATCCCGGAGCGCTCAGCCCACTGAGGGGAAACCCGGGCGGTGAAGCCCTGGAGAAAAGGGATTTAGTTTTAAGCCAGTCTCCCATCGATCGGGTCGGTAATTTCTACCCCTGCCCACTCTCAAACACACTCACCTCTACCCTAAAGCATTAAGTTCATTACGCGAGCAATGATCTTAATCTCCAGGCGGAAAACGAGTCCCGGGACCTCGCAGATTGGGGAAGCAGTGAATAAAGTCACCTGCTTCGCGCACCGCTTGGCCCGCTCCTCCCGGTGGGGGCCGTGTGTGGCAGGGAGCGCCGAGAGGGGGTCCCTAACTCCACGCCGAGGCGGACCGGGCAGGGGTCAGAAACCCTGTGTCTGTTTTCTGCGGGGTGACGACCTCCTGGAAGGGTGGGATTGCTTTTGCTTGCTTTGCTTCTCCCCTCCCTCTGCCTTTCTTCCTAGGCCTCCCTCACACCTCAGTACTCTTTCTTCCTCCTCCCCTCCCCCAAAGTGGCAACTTCCCCTTCTCCACCTAGCGTCCAGAGGTTCTGCCCCTCTCCTAGTCCTCCGCAGCCTCAGGGCCGTCGCAGAAGTCTGGTAGCCCGACGCCTTTTTGCGCCCATCTACCTCACCCACCTTTCTGGGCATGGGTGGGTGGGGAATGATCAGTGAGGCTCTTTTGAAGCCGCTTACTGAAGGCACCCAGAGGCTTTAAAGAACCAGATTTCTCTATTTAGGGGCGATCTCTGCGCCCATTGATAACTCCATCCCAAAGAAACCCAGCACAGCAGCAAACACCCCCAGCAGTCGCCTGCTCCTCAGCCCCCGCCTTGGCACAGAGCAGCGTCTGGCACTGCGGGGAGATGGAGGCGAGCCACGCGCACCCGTTCCCTTACTGGCCGACCCGCGAGGCGCCAGCTTGTTCTGGAGACTCAGTTTCCACTGGACAAAAGCAGGGGAAACACAACGCAAGGGCTGTGCAAATCCACGTTCCCGACACCCCTCCACCCCATCCCAATCTGATTTTTGAGACGTGCATTTTCAGGTAGTCCTAAACTGTGAACAGCGAGCTTTGTGTGTTATCTAGTGGGGGTGGGGATGAAAGGGGAGGAGACTCCCACTGCCCGTTCCAGTCTTTAATGTCTGAAATAACGAAATGCCTTGTGTAGCAGCTGCTGCTTGAGCCAAAACTAACTCTTTGGAAGACGGAAAAGAGTGAAAGGCAAAGAAAGACTGTTCATTTTTTTTCTTTTGGTGCCGTTTGGGATGTCATCTGTTTCCTTGGCGACTGTGTTCAGCCCCCGGAGCCCCTGGGCTCCTGGATTGTTAGGGGGGAAAAGCATGCTATTTCTGCACCGTCATTTATCACTGTCACCGCATAATGATTCCCCTTGCAGCCCCTTATTGATGTTTGTAATTGCATTATCTCATAAAGGAGGATGATCAATGAAACCGAGCCGTGCATTCTGGGGTCAGA